AAAAAAAAAAAAAAAAAAAAAGTAAAAATTGGATGGCGAGGATTAAAGGAGGGTTTGAAAGCCTTGTTTAGTTGGTTTGTTTAGCATGTGGGAATTAAGAAGTAGAATTTAAAGAATATAGGGCGTGGAGTGAAAATGAGATTTTGTGGGTGAAAATTTCATTAATGATTCTTAATTCCTCATTTAATGGATACAAGATTGAAGAATTTTAAATTTCATGTTTGTCATGTGGGAATAACTTAAAATTAAATTAGAACTTTACTAGTTTACCTTTTTATCACAGCATATACAACTATACAAGTATATCACTTATTACTCATTGAGGGAAATATTACATTTTTATTAGATCAGAGAATTCCCACCATCTTATATTCTTATTAGTGTTATTACCTATCGTTTTTCCCCTAGGTAATACTCCGTAATCCATACTTCCTCCTTTTTAAATACTTGTTTCAATTCACTTTCCTTTTTCGGCCGTTTTTAAATACTTGTTTCACTTTCCTTTTTCGGCCGTTTTTAAATACTTGTTTCACTTTCATTTTCGGCTGTTTTTAAATACTTGCTTTATTTTTTTTTTATATAAAACTTTTACAATATTTAATTAATTTCTCTCACCTAGTGGACTCATCATGATCATATTTTATTAATTTTATTTTCTCTCTCCTCCAATCATCTCCTCTATTTTTACTTTTTATAATTTTTTATTCCTCCACTTACCCCACTACCTCTATATATTACTCCCTCCGTCCCTAAATTACATTCCTCTTTGAAAATTTACACGGGAATTAAGGAGGAAAGAATAAGACAAATAACAATAATTAGATAATGCAATGAGAAGTACAAAGATAGATTAGTTATTACTCATGACATGTCATCAATCCTTTGCAAAAAAAAAAGGACCAATCACATGCTCCTAATTGAAATTTTTTAGCCAATCATATTCATTGTAATTTGGCACAAGGATTATGAGTGAGATTAGGTAAGGATGAGTGAGAAAACATTAAATATAAATACAGAAAAAGAGAGTTGATTTACTTAAAAAAACTTACCAAAAATAGAAAGGAGAAATGTAATTTTGAAATACCAAAAATAGAAAGGAGGAATGTAATTTAGGGACGGAGGGAGTATAATTTTTTTCTAAAACTCCGTGCATAGGAAAATGGAACAAGTATTTTAAAAGGAAAGAGTATTTTGTAAATCATTCCCACCCTCTAACTAATTTCTACCAAATAGACATTGGTTTATAAAATATATGAAATATATAATCCTATTTCTAACCTGTAAATCTACACACCACATTCACCTTATATTGCAACAAAAGTTAAATTTAATTTAGGGCTTGTACTGATTTATTGAATTGAGCTGAATTGAAGTGAATATTTATGAGAGAAGGAAATTAGGAAGTGAACTGATGAAATAATTAGAGTTGAGTTGAACTGAATTGAATTGCATTGAAAATAGGCTTAAGAGAACAAACCCTTAGTGGGATTCAACATTCTCCTTTCGAACCATAATGAACTACCATGCATTGTTATGTATTGGAGGTAATTGGCGGTTTGGAAAACATCATGCTAGATGTCCCTGCATTTGTTTAGCCTTAAACACGGAAAAAAAAATTTCATTAATAAGACCAAACCTTTATCACTAATCTAATCTAGCTTTGCTAACTAAACAAGGACTCAAGGAGTACTTGAGAAGCAAATTATCTTGATAGAGAATGGAAGTTAGATATTACTACATATAAAATCCTTAAATTTAGCACTAAGATTGATTTACCAAAGAGTAAAAAAATCAAGGTTTTTTTTTTTTTTTTTTTTTTTTTTTTTTTTTTTTTTTTTTACGAAAACTTCAATTTTAAAACAATCGTAAATATATACATGTATAGTATATTTTATTATTCGAAGTAACAGACAAAGCACCTTCTCATAATGAAATCTTTCATGCATCAATCTAATCGGAATAATATGATCAAGACTCCTTAAAGAGTAGAAAAAAGGATAAAAGAATCCACGTCCCTAATTATTTAGTTAATTGATCCACAAAATCTCAAATCCATAGTTCCATAGCTATTCAATTGTAATTTCCTTGTATTTCGACCCACATACAGCCATCCAATGAGCTATACATGTACATAAAGTAGTATTATTAGTAACAGTAAACTATGGAACAATATAATACAAAGTCCAACTGACATGAATTGAGAAGAAATAACGATGTGCAGCAAAAGACTGCAGAGGAGCAATAAATCAAATAATGCACAAAAACTTTATACTAAAAATAAAAAAAGAAAGATTCACATAAAAACAGTAAACGTGACACAAGTAATTACAAGATGGTCTGATAGAAAAGTGGGGCCCTTTTAAGCAATAAGGGTTTTGTCGTAGCTACTTTTAAGTCCTGAGACATCTTTCAGAAATAGCGCGCGAAAACAGCGCGGGAGCTGTTTCCCAATGCACCTCTTCTGTAAATAATTATTGTTATTATTAATATATGTAAATAATTTAATTGATTGGAAAATAAAATTAATTTTTTTCTTTGGTTTGTCAGATACTCACATCCTGAAAAATCAAAAATTCCTTTTTAGAAAGAAAAGGATGTTTGGTCCCACTTCATATCATTTCAAATGTTAACTCTTTTGATGTTGACATCCATCTCTCTCTCCCTCACGAAATTATTTCCAAAGAATGATTATAGATTAGAAAGGATGGAGAAAAATTGTAACAAGGGAAGTTAAACCATTCATATTTTAAAAATTTAAATAATTAAAAAGATTTTCTCAATTATTCGAGTGTCGATCTTGTTTGCAAACTACGGAGTACTACGTGTTTTTTGAGTTGATACATTTTGCTTATAAAACTATTCATATACTCTTCTTTAATCGTGTTTTGTTATTTATATATAATGAGAAATATAGTTTTATGAAATCTTTATAAATTCGTCATGATATATATTTTCAAAATATCAAAATTTCATATTTTTTTTCTTATCGGGTAATTAAAGATATGAATTATTGAAGTTATGTGTTGACAAACGTGAATAAAGAAATAGAGGAAGTATTATGGTAGTCAAAGAGTAAATTAAATATTATAAATTGGATGTAAGACTCTCATAAAAATAATCAAAGATAATCCATTTGTTGGAGAATAACTAGCATATTAAACTTTTTTTTTTATAACTATATATTACTCCCTTTGTCTCCGAAAGAATGACCCTTTTGGGCTGATTTTGCGATTATTAAGAAAATTAAATAAAAAGAAGTAAAAGTATATCGAAAAGATAAATTTACACGAGTTTTGTAAAAAAAAAGAGAGAGATAAGGTAATAAAAGTACATGAAAAACAAAAATTTATGAAAAAGCTAATTTTGCACATATTATAAATTAGTGGGTATTTTGATACAAATGGGTCGATCATTTTGTGACTAAAATTAGGCTAAAAGGGTCGAACTTTTAGAGACGAAACGAGTAATATATTGGTTATGTTTGGTAAATAGCTTATTTGAGCAAAATTAACTTATTTGACCAACATTAACTTATTAATTAATTAATGACATGTTCTTTAGAGCTGGTGAAATCTGTTTTGCTCTGTTGAGCCTAGTTGAAATCTTCTCTACTTCGTAAAATTATTTAATGTAATCTAAAATTTAATATAATTTCAAATTCATAAATAATAAGTAAAATTAATACATAATAAAATTATGAATAATTACTAATAACAACAACAACAACAATATGGGTCGTCTGACTTCGTTATCGCTCGAGTTGTGTCGGTTGCTCTCAGCGAAAGCGGGACAAGTATGGAGCGCGTTGTAAATTTATTGTCTATGGTTTTCTTTCTTTCTCCTTTTCTTCATTGAGGGAATTAGAAGGATATTGTTGTATTGCTGAGAGGCATTTGCTAGGACACATGATATTAGTGCTCGTGCATCTGCTCACATCTTCAGCAGAATCAAGTTTGCAATAACTAGAGGGGTGGGGGGCCAAATTATGTCTCGACTCCCCACTAACTTCTTGAAGTTTAGTTGACTTTGTAGGTTTTTGTAATTTTTTAGATAATAATAATAATAATAATAATAATAATAATAATAATAATAATAATAATAATAATAATAATAATAATAATATAGTTGACTTTGTAGGTTTTTGTAGGTTGACATTGGGTTGTTTGGAGGGAATGACAGGGCCCTTAGACCTACACATGTGATACTATATTCATGGGATCGAGGTCACAATATATATGTTGATTTGATAGGACCTTTTCCTTTGACACGGTCGAGGCTATCTGTTCCTGAATGGGTTGTGACTGATGTGACTCATCGAAAGCAAGTCAAGTACGAATCTAGTTGTCAGGCGTTTGGATATGGTTTCATTCACTTCTCAATTCCTTCGCTTAGGGAATTAGAGAAGAAGGTGGTTGCATTGTTGAAGCGGGTTCATAAGTTCTCGACGACGCAAGACAGTGGGGCATGTGCTACTGCTCATATATTTACTAGGATATGATTTTCTAATTCAAGAGGAGTGGGGTCCCGGATTGTATCTTGGCTTCCCACTAATTTTTGTACTACATAGGTTGTATGACTTTATCTGTTTTTGAATAATAATAATAATAATAATAATAATAATAATAATAATAATAATAGTAATAATAATAATATATGCGGGTTCAAGCGTTCGCTAACACTAGTAGAAAAAACGCATTAGGCAGCGGTTCAAACCCGGTCTAAGGCACCGGTTTGAACCGCTGCCTATTTGAGGGGTGCCAAAAACCCCCTATTTGGTACCGGTTCAAAACCGGTGCCATAAACCGGTTTTGACACCGGTTAACCGGTGCCTTAAATAATTTCGCGGAATATTTTTTGTTAGTGGTAGTTGTTTTAGGCACCAGTTAACCGGTGCCTTTTTGGTATTTTTTTTTTAAACTTTTTTCTTGCAATAATAATAAAAATAATATACAAACAAACATGAAATACGAACCAAACAAAAATAAATGGTGAAATAAGGATTCTTGAAATTGTTATATTCAACATCAAAACAATGGTAATTCAACAAGTAAATTGTTATTGTACCATACAAAACAAAAAAAAAAATTACAATGAATTATAATTAACTCAGAAATTGAAATTGTAAAACAATAAAAAAAAAAAAAAATTTACAACATCAAAATAATATTCCAAAATAGAAATCTTGAATCCTTGTTGCTTGAATTAACACCTGCATAAATTAAAACCCAGAAATTATTAAAACTAAAAAAAAAAAAAAAAAAAACGAGAAGCAAACCCAGAAAACTAATGCATGAACGAGAAAATCAATTAACCCAAAATCAAACCCAGCAATCGATTAAACCCAGCAAAATTAGGTTACCCTAGAATTTTGCTGGGTTTTCTGAATTAATCGATTAATCCCAGAATTCAGAAAATCGATTAACCCTAGAAATTCAATTAACCCCAGAATTCAGAAAATCGGTTAAACCCAGAAAATCAATTAAACCAAGAAGCAAACCCAGCAATCGATTAAACCCAGCAAACCCAGAAAATCACTTAACCCCAAAACTTTCGAAAATCAATTACACCCAGAAATTTCGAAAAATCAATTAAGTGCAAAAAATGACAAAATCAATTAACCCAAATAATTCCAAGATCAATTAATTCCAAGATCAAATAATTCCAAGATCAATTACCTCACTCTAAGATAGCATGCATGTCACAAGAGCGAGGCAAGCAAGAAGCACCTACTGCGAGAGGGACGAAGTCGGGCTTAGATGTAGTTTTCAGGTCAGAAGAAGAGGACAGAGAGGGGAGAGAGACAGAGAACAGAGGTCGGAAAGCTGAGAGGAGAAAGAGAGGAGAGAGGAGGAGAGGCGCTCAGTTGGAGGAGAAGGAGGAGAGGCGCTCAGTTGGAGCCTTGGAGGAGAAAGAGAGGAGAGAGAAGCTAAGAGGAGAGATAAGGATGTTAGGGTTTATAAATAAACAATCCGGGTTTTTTTTGTAGCACCGGTTCAGTGGCACCGGTTCAAACCGGCGGCCTTGTTATTTTTGGCACCGGTTTGATCTGAACCGGTGCCATTGTTCTTGGTCTAAATCCCCGCCCAATTTTAGGCCGGTTTTTGGCACCGGTTTGGTCTGAACCGGTGCCAATTGGGGGCTGCCTATTTGTATTTTTCTACTAGTGTAAGACTCAGGATATTGGTGCTCATGCAGCTGCTTAGATCTTCAGCAGGATCGAGTTCGCTATAGATAGAGGGGTGGGGGCCCAGATTGTATCTCGGCTCCCCACCAATTTCTTGTAAATTGATTGACTTTGTAAGTTTTTGATAATAATAATAATAATAATAATAATAATAATAATAATAATAATAATAATAATAATAATAATAATAATAATAATAATAATAATAATAACAATTACAATAATAATAAGTTATTCTAGAATGGAGATAAAGAAATTTGTTTGAAATTGAAGTTATATCTTGATAAGGGATTAATGAAGTTAGCTAGGAATTGGTTGTGCTACTTCAAGGATTTTACTCTAAGGGATTGACAACAAAGTCAGTTGATGTAGAGAACTCATACTAATGATGTTGCAAGAACCAATGATTACATTTTGTTCAATTGAATCATATTATAAGGTATGGATTACAATAATCAAATTGAGGAATTTGATCAAGTTATAAGAAAAGATAATCAAGTTATTGAAATTTTTAATGGTGAAGTTATTGATTACGATTTTAAGGTTGTATTACCAAGAATCATGAAATTGTTAGGAAAATTGTAAAATATTTGGAATTTACCTTAAGATCAAGTTACTAATCTATATGAGTTAAGCAAATTAAGATGAGAGATGATGTTCCTTACTGTAGGCACTCAAATTTGTCTCTCCAAAAACCAAACTCAATGATGAATACTTTTCAAGTCACTTGATTATCGAACGAAGTGAAAGTGTGAAAAGTCTTGTGATGCGGTTGTTTTAATAAAAGTCCTTTTTGTTTTTTATAAATGTACTTTATTTATGAATATAGTCAGTCCAATTTAATTTGGTCCATGACAAGGTTCCAATAACAATGTAGTTGGGTCGGGCTCGCAAAGAGCTTTCCAATGATATATTATAAGCCCAATTCCGATGAATAATGAGGAAGTTATGACCAAAATACTAAATTGGGTCTGAAATGGCTTTACGGCCCAATGATCTAGTAGAGGGACCATTAATTATTTATTCCTAAAATTATTAGGATTGATTCTAATCTTCTAAAATAGTTTAGAAGGTTGTTTAAAATTTCAATGAACTTAGGATTGGTAATTATCTTTTGAGAATAATGAATTTGATTTGAAATAAAACAAGTGTTTTATTATGAAGAAATCTGATTTAAAATTGATAAACGCAGAGTTTAATTTCTTAATTATATTAGGAAAAGTATTCTGTACAAAAGCGCTTTTTATCTTTTAAACCAGCACCAAACGATAGAGCCTGTCGCCATGCGTGATCCCTGTCGTTTCGCGCTGGGTCCAATCGTTCACCACATGAGCCAGTTTTATTCCGATTGAAATTCTAATTCTTTTCTATCATTTTTGGACTATTTTCTCTATAAATAGGGTCGTATTTCCTTGTTTTTATTCATCAACAATCAACAATCATCAACAATCAAAAATCATTATTAATTCTCTTAAGCAATAGCTTATTCTTCTCTCTTTTTCTAAACCTTTCCCTTTTACAAATAAAAATACCGCATTCACGAGTTCTAGACACACCTAGGCAAATTCGAAGTTGGCTTCGCCTTAGACGTGAATGGTTGATAATTTCTGAGGTTTTCTCCCATATCTATATTTCAATTTATTAAATTAATTATTTAATAGTTTCCTTTAAGTTACTAACGCGTGTATTTTGTTATTAGAAAGAGATACGAGGCATCGAAGTTAGTAATTTAATTACTTAATTATTCTTTTGATATAGAAAGTATGTTTAGATTATTTTAATTCCCAGTGTCATGTTAGGATGTCTTTTATCGCTTTCTAGTATCATGCTTAGGTTTTTTTCCTATTTCTTCTATCATGTTAGTATCATGTTAGAGATAAGGTTTGATCTTTAATGTTTAGTGACATGCTATGATTTGTTTTTAATCTTGTTAGTATCATGCCTAGGATCTTGCTAATAATATTATGCTTTGATGAGATTGAGATTGTTATGATGATGATTGTTATTCAATATGTTGCTTGGTATTGTTATTGTTATTGCTTGATCACGCCCTCTCTTGCTAGATTAAAGGTAATTTGTACTTGAAATTATGCTTAATAAGATAATTAATAATCTTGTTTAGGTTAATATGATTATAATTCAAGTGATTGCCAATAAATAGATTTGTTTGTGCATTAATATTTAACCAACATAGATTAAACAAATTTAGGATTAATATATTGATTGTATGTTAGTCAGAAATTGCACATGAATATGAGAAGAATAATGTAGAGGCCTATTTTTAGGGCAGGTTCAATCTCTTTTAGGTTGAATTTGTACCTTCATCCCCGAATGTCCAGTCATGGTTCAGGACCACTATGGAGTTAGCGATCTCATGGATTGTGAAGGGGTGTAACCTTCACCCTGTGAACGGTTTACAAGTTCCTAAAACTTGTTGGCGACTCTTTTACTCTAGCTTCCTTCCTTTTGGACGCCATCATACTTAAATGTATGATCACAGTGGAGCTCAAGTGAGGGATGCTTGAAATATTCCCTACACTTACATGCTTATTACTTATGATAGTTCTTCGTTAAATTAGAAAGTCATTTATGTGATTATAATTATAGAGTTTTTTTTTATGAAAAGTAAAAGTTTTCTTCAAATTAAACATGTACTTTTATTATAATTCTAAGGATTTTGGATTTTCCTAATATGGAAAATCTGATTTTTTTGGTTAATTTACTTAGTGAATAATTGGTATTCTTTTAATTCATCATTTTATACAATATATATATTATTTACAAAATTATATTTAATCCCTTAAATCTAGAAAACTATTCCCTAAATACTACATAAGGTGTCTAAAATTTTAAGCTATGGAAGCTAAAAAATTTCGGCCACCATGGTTGGATTTTGGGTGATTTATTTTGGTAAATTGTATTTTTAATTAGGATTTTTTAGAAAATGACACCACAAAAAAACCCCTAAAATTTGATTATAACCTCACATAAAAAGAAACTTTTATTATAACACCACAAAAAACACCAAAAAATTGGTTTTACCACCACTTAACGGAGTTTTGAATGGAATCAAAATCCGTTAGCGGGGCTCACAACAGACACGTGTCACTAGCTTATTAGTTTTTTAAAAAATTAAAAATAAAAAACAAATAAAAAAAATACCTAAACAACCAACCCAGCCCAGCCTAAGCATCGACACCAACCCTCCATTCCCCTCTTCTTCCTCCCCGAAAACAACCCCAACCTGCCTAACCTCCGCAAACACCGCTTACCCACGACAACAACAACATCAATACATCATCGTCGCTAAACTCCGAAAACCACCCTCCTTTACCTTTCACCCTCAAAACGGCCAAAATTGACCATAACAACCACGATTGGTCGATTATTTCAATGGTCGTTTCAAGATTTGGGGAAAACAGTTGAATACGACCATGGCAACTTGTGCTTTATTGTGGCTTCGACGTTGAAGGAGGAGTTGTGGTGAATGGGGGTGATAACATGTAATTATGACGGTGAAGGATGGTTTCTGGTGGTAGTAGGGGTTCCTGAATGGAATGGTGTCCTTCGAACAAGTGTATTATTTCGATAGAGGGTTCGAAGCTATCGGAAAGCTATTTATTCAGAAAATCAAGTGATCGGAATGCCAAGGTGGAGGCCACTTCCGATCAGTAATATTGATGCATAATTAATATTATAGCTTAATCTTGACTGAACCCTTCGGGTCACACCAAAGCAACTAACGATCCGACACGACGAATTAATTCAAAAGAAATTAATGAATCCCTCGAGTATTAAATATTTAGACGTCAAAAATTGAGCTAGGAGCGTCAAAACCGAGCGTCGCAAGTCGAGTAGAATAAATAAAAGACGAGACATAAAATCAATAATTAATCAAATACCCCTAGCATCGGAATGCCCCGAGCAAACCGAGTGATAGGGGCATTTGGTATAGCAAGGTGGCTATCATGCGCACCAAGCCGAGCCTAGGATGGATGGCTAGTGCTACGGCATGCTAGCGCACCACAACTAGCAAGGCTACCAACACATGGCTAGCAAGCCATGCTAGCATGTGCGGGGGCAGCCGTAGCAATGAGCTAGTAGTGCTAGCTAGCTAGCAGCGCGCTCGCGCATGGGGCTTCGGCCAGCCGCACAGTCACGCATAGTAGCAATCCATTCACACACACTAAGCGTCAGCTAGGAAGCTTGGGTGGCAAGGCTTGGCCTGCCACATGGAAGTAGTCCATTGGCGCATTTGGTAATCGAGTAGCCAGTTTTGGGAGCCTTGGGGATCAAGTATTGGTCCTCCCCTTTTTCCCTGTGGTCCCTACAGGAGTTATGTCTTCGATAAGTGCAATTACTAGATATATCAAGGATCACGATCATGGAGATAATTAGTTCATTCTATAGGGTCATCAATGTTTGGTGCTAGCCATGACAATTGATCTTTGGGCTAGTTAAATAGTCCAAAGCCTTATATAATGGATCCTATAAGGTCACACACAAGAGTATTAGGTCAAACAAGTTAGAGACCCATTATTGGGCCTCATGAGTTTATGACATGCCACATTGATTGTTGGGCTAGGATAGTTTGATGAGCTTAGAATGTTTTGGGCTTGACATGAATTTATTTAGAGATGTGATCTATAATATAATCCATGACTAGGGTTGCATGACATAACAATTAACTGTTAATTGTGAACCAAGCAACAAACTCCAAACCCCTAACTCTCTCTTTCTTTCCACTCGACCCTCTCTCTTTCCTCCCTTGTCCGTACGGCCGCCCCTCACAAGTGGCGCGTGTGGTGGTTGTTTAGGTGGTTCATGGTGTGCTCGTGACTCACATCTCCGTTGAAGGTTGATTGAAGTGTTCGATCACAACTAACTAGCATTAGTGGAGGTTTGATCCGTGCTCGTGGACTTAGTAGAGGAATCACACGTGGGGTTCCTACTCTCCTTATTGTTCTTGCTCGATCATATGTGGAATCACGCTATAAAGGTATTAATTCTAATCTTTATGTGTTATGCATGATCTCGGGATTAGGTGCTATATGAATATGATTCATGTTTTCCGCAATTCGTACCTATAAACTCCTACAGTCCCTACATAACCCCTCCTCTCAAAATGACATTGGTTGATTAATTAGTTATTGACTATTTTCTTTTGTTTTTTATTTAAAAATAAAAGGAGAAAATTGATTTTACCAACACTCCCACATTGATGGGAGAGTGGATTTCTCACTTGAGTTTCCTTATAAATATCCCACTTGGGAATTGGGAAAACTCACTTGAGTAAGAGCTCAATTAGGCATCTCCACTTGAGAGAAAACCTATAAGCTGATTAATTACTCGAGTAGTGTTTTGGTACGACTTGGCTAACCTCCAAATAAGAGACCCGTCGTGATTGTGTTGTGGGTGGATATTATCGGAGGCTGTTGCGTTTGCGAGGCTTAGCTTTCTCAAGTAAGAGCTCCGGTGGTTGAGCGAAGCACGCTTCAAGGGTAATTTTGTCTTTTCTCTAATATTGTTATCTATGTATTTTGGTTATATTAATTGTGAGTTTTTCCTTGGGTTCGGGTTTTATTTCCGGGGTGAGTTAGACTCATCAAAACCCAAAACTGCCGGAGGTGAGGTTTACGGTTGCCAGTGGTGAGGCGTACGACTACCGGTGGTGGTTGTGGGGCTGGGTTATAGTTTTGGGGTTTTTTTATATTTTTTTATTATAAGCCAATGTCTTATTGACACATTTCCATAATGGTCCCTCTAACGGATTTCATCCAAAAATCTATTAGGAGGTGGTGAAATTCAATATTTTTTTTTTTTTTGTTGTAGGGAATATTTCAAGCATTATCCCAAACTTGAACCCCACTGTGATCATACACTTAAGTATGGTGGCGTCCAAAGGGAAGGAAACTAGAGCAAAAGAGACGCCAACAAGTTTTAGGAACTTGTAAACCGTTCACAGGGTGAAGGTTACACCCCTTAATGATCCAGGAGATCGTTAACTCCAAAAGGTCTGGAGCCATGAATGGAAGTTCGGGGATGAAGGTACAAATCCAACCTAAAAGAGATTGAACCTGCCCTAAAAATAGGGCTCTACTTTATTCTTCTCCTATTCATGTGCGCTTTCTGACTAACATGCAATCAATATATTTACTCTAAACCTGTTTAATTTATGTTGGTTGAACATTAATGCACAAATAAATCTATTATTGGCGATCATTTGAATTATAATCAAATTAACCCTAAACAAGATTATTAATTATCTTATTAAGCGTTATTACAAATACAAATTCTCTTTAAATATGCATAAAAGGCGTGACCAAGCAATAACAATAATAATAATCAAGAAACATAATTATAATCATAATTAAAACAATCATGTTAAAGCATAATAATAATAGCAAGATCCTATGCATGATACTAACAAGATTAATAACAAACCCTAGCATGTCACTAAACATAAAAGATCAAAGCTTTAACCCTAACATGGTACTAATATGATATTAGAAATAGGTAGAAGCACCTTAAACATGATACTAGAAAACAATAAAATATCCTAACATGATATTAAGAATCAATAAATAATAAACTTGCTTTCTACAAGAATAGAGCAATAAGATTACATACTTTGATGCCTCGTACCTCTTTCTAATAACAAAATACACACGTTAGTAACTTCAAGGAAAATAATAAAATTAAATAAATAACTAAGGGTTCGTTTGGCATTGTTTTTCAATTTTCAGTTTTTTGTTTTTTTCAAAACTGAAAACTGATTTCAATTTTTGATTCTTTTTAAAAAAAAAAACTGTTTTCATTTTTCAATTTTGAGTTTACAATCAACTTCAAAACACTACCAAATCATTTATAGCTTTAATCAACTATTATACTACCAATAATTATTTATTAATATTTTTTTTATATAGCTGCTTATTTATTTTCACAATATATATATATATATATATATATATATATATATATATATATATATATATTCCAATAATAAATTTATTGGTTGGATAAGATTGTAACAAAATTTAAAGGAGCAACCGGGAAAAAAGTAATAATAAAATAGTCAAATGCAATGTAATATTTATTTCTCGTTGAAGACTTTCATTATGAATTTTGTCTTTCCCACAATCTTATTGCCAAACGATCGCGAAATTGAGCCATTCTTTGAAGTTCTTGTTGACTTAAAGAAGGAGTCACTAGGTCCTCGGATCCATTGTTGTTGATTGCATCATCTTCTAGTTCGACATTTTCATCCGCATACTGTATGAACAAATGATCTCCGTCCTTGCACATTTTTATGAAATTGTGGATAACACAGCACGACAAAATTATATATTTTTTGTCGTTTTAAGTCATATGAAGGCATATCTCTGAGAATGGGAAATCTAGCTTTTAATACCCCAAAACATCTTTCAATAACATTTCGCAATGAAGAATGTGTATAATTAAATATTTCCTCAGGACTTTGTGGGCTCGTTGCTCCTCTATAATCACGCAAATGATATCGTTCTCCACGATACGGTGAAAGAAATCCTGGCATATTTGTATAGCCTGAGTCTACAAGATAATACTTTCTAGTAGGAGGCATAGGAAACTTGGTCTCTTCTACATTTGTAATTGTTTCCCAAAAAATTCTTGAATCATTTGCCGAACCTTCCCACCCAGCCATCACAAATGTAAATTTCATGTCAAATGAGCAAGTACACATTACATTCATCGTAGGCTTTTTTTTTTCTTTTCCACGATAGGGAATTTGATTATCTTATGGCACATGTGCTGATACATGAGTTCCATCAATAGCTCCTATGCAATTCCATAATAAATCTTTAAATTCAAACTACATAATTAATGAATTAATAAATAGATAATATGTAAAAATTAAAAATTAGTGACAAAAAATTACCTTGAAAATCGGATAGTATGTTGGGTTATTTTTTTATTTCTGGAGGTGTTTCGTCAAATGCCGGAGGAACAATCCAATGCTTCGATAATGATGCAATGGCATACAAAACCTTTCGAAAATGGCGGTGAGTGGATTATAAGGAATGTTGAAATCTATCCGCTATAAGTCTGTGCCTCGAATTATGAGAAATAATAAGAAGAAACATTACAACCTGTTCTTGAATTGATATAAATTTGGAATCTTTCAACTTTTCCCTTTTTTTTTTAATTCTTCACACAAGCTAATAAAGATCTCAAGAGTCATTCGAAGCATATCATAACATATCATTGGATGACCGTTAAGTAGTTCAAGGACATATTGGTGACCTGTTAACTTTAAAATTCTTTGCAAACGGGGTTTCTTTTTAAGGAACCCATTATTTTGTAAGTTAATATAAATTGTCAATATTTGTTGAAAATATTCCTCATTAGGATCCGATAAAATTTCTTCAATGTCGAAATGCATTTTTTACATATAAATGTTATGAGCAAGCAGAATACTATCAGTATATATAAATTTTATAAGCAAGCATATAGAATAAGATCACCATTATTACTCTTATTAAATCAAACCCAAATACAAAATCCAAAAAAAAAAAAATCATACTTATGACAAGATCTAAATTGAGTTTAAACACTCAAACATGCGTTATTGAAGGGAAAAATAATTTGTACTAATGAGATAATGCTTAAAGGTTGAGCACAAAATCTATCTTCCTATCATTTGGAAATCTAAGAAACATTTTCCTCCACAATGGATCATCATGTAAATGAAGCTCCATCAATTCCCTCAAGTGCATTTAGTGCATCTACACATTCCATGAGCAAATCATGATCCTCATTGGACTGATGCCCACCTTCATCATTTCCATTAATTTTTTCTCGATAAGTTCAAGTTTTTTCTTGGAATTTTCACTCATTGTAACCAAGGCATCCGCCATTGCTACATTAACACTTTCTCTAAGTTTCTTACGATTGACATTAGGCTTGATTTTTTTTTGTTTTTAGGACCCTCTTCACATTGTTTTCTTGAGTCACCCCCTTCTCCATCTGTGTCATCTTCATCCTCAATCTCAAAAGTGCTTTTAGTAGAAGGATGTGAACTAGCACCAGTAGCGGTTGTATCTCCATAAATTGTGCATAATTTATCATAATGCTTACATCCCTTCTTTCTAAAAGTTTTGGCAGACTTATGTTTCTATAACAACCATACATTCACAAAAATAAAATCTTATTAGTTTAAAAATGTCCCTACTTGATCCATAAAATAATAGAATCAAAATAAACTTATTGACAATTACCTCATACAAATTTTTCCATACAGCATCCTCAGCAGAAAGTTGAAAAGTCATAGCATTGTATCCCATTCCAGTTTCTTGTACTAGTTTACTAAATTCCTTCCATCTTTGTCTTAGTTGATTATATTTGTTCTTAAGTTGCTCTTGACTATAATTCTTTTTTGTCTTCTCCTTTAGTTTTGCTTGATAAGCCTCCAAGCTTGCTAGGTTAGAGTGGTTGTTGGTATATTTCCTTTTTTTACCTCCTCCTCTATCAAGCTTATAAGGTAAGATTCAATATTTTCATCCCATACTCCAACTACTCTAGTAGATTCAATCTCAACAACAACTTCATCTTCGCACTCATTATTTTTCAAATTTGACATCTATAAAGTAATTCACTATTAGACATAATAATCATCTAATTCAACTAAACAACCAATGTGCAGCAACTAGAAAAACAAGAGCACAACATATCCATTTGTCTCCCATTACCATTATGTTAAACATACAAACTTCATAAATAATTGATTCTATATAAGCTACCTTGGCATATAACTCTGATAAACTATACCACAAATGAAACTCCTCCACTAAATAAGAAAGGGGTGTAAAATACAACAATCCACACTAGTACTCTAAGAAAAACACACTAAACTTCCATGTTTACAAATTACTGAAGCTCCAAAATTGTAATAGCTTTCTAATACCAATTAACCTAATTTCATAAGCACAAATACATAATACCCTGCCAAAGTGTTAATTCCATAAAAAAAAATGACTCAGCGACCAGTTTATTTTAAGATTTAGAACAGTTATGCTCTAAAGTGCAGGTTTCTGATTTCTAAGCCAAAAAGAAGGAACAAGCAAAAAAGACATGCAGATAGAAGACAGGGTGATAGACTCATAATACTTCCAAGTCAACTAGGCTGAGATTGCCACTACATATTACAGCAAATTGACACATCACGTAAACTTATGTTATTAGTTGTTACATAGCTCACATTCTTATTCAAATTCATACATACTGTCCAAGTATAAAGTAAGTTTCTGGGAGCCAAGACTTGCCACAAGGTATTAAGAGCATAGAGTAGAAAAATGTTTGATAAAAAAAAATGATCTAACATGCTATCCATCCCAGACAACCCAAAACCATAGGTAGACTTCCCAAAATTTTCAAAATTGATTACATTACAAGCATAATTCATACTTCCTACTTCCTGAACAACAAATTCCCAAAATATTAAATATATTGAACACATATTATGAGATAATTAGCTTAGACTTCCTTCCTTGAATTAACTAAAACATACGTAGTATTAACATCATGATAAGGGCAACTAAGAATTAGAATTAGAATCATAGAAAATTCAATCAATACGAGTGTTGATTATAACAATTTTTCAATTAATCAACACTGCACTCGTATTTTTCAGAAAAAAAAAATCCCCAAATATGAAAACCTAAAATAAATTATATACAAATTAGACAAAGAACGATTAAAATTAAGAAAAATAACGAACAAAGATCACCAATTTTGATCAGAGAAATTGAATACAACCAAATTTTTTAAGCAACAAAAGCATCAATAAATTTGTAAATTGAAAAAGAAAAACAGGGGAAAACGTGGTGATTATACAGAAATTAAAAGAAAAGAGAGAGGAGAACGCTCTATACCTGTAATTGCTTGCTCCTTGAATCTTGAGAATTAAGGTTTGAGGAAGAAAGATGAGATACTATGTGAAGGAGATACGGAGTACTACGACGCTTTGATAGGGGGAAAAAAAAACAAAACCTCTAAAACGGCTTTGAGGTGTTTTAGGTTTATCGTTGTAATTTTTACAAAATAGATAAAAAGTTGTTTTTTAAGCTATTTTACCAAACACTGTTTTGTTTTGTTTTGGGGGTAAAAAATAAAAAAACCAAAAACAGCACTGATGCCAAACACACCCTAAAGAATTGAAAGAAAGAGTTAAAAAGTTTAAACTGGATTTGGAACCAAACCCTAAAAAATTATCAACCTTTCACGTCTAGGGCGAAGGCAACTTCGAACTTGGCTAGGTGTGTCTAGATCTTGTGTATGCGGAATTGTGTTTGCAAAAGGGTTGGTTTAGAAAGAGAGAGAGAATAAAAAAAATTCTTGATGAGAGTTGATGAATAAAAACGGAGGTGCAGGAACCCTATTTATAAGAAAATAGTCTGGAAACCAATAGAAAAGATTTAGAATTCGAATCGGAATAAAACTCATCCTGTCGCCAACGACAGAGCTCGTTGCCAGGCGATGAGGTGCATCGCCAGGCGGTGCTAAGAAAGTTTTTTACGAATTTTGTTTTTATCATATCTTTTGATCCAGAAGTCCAAATAAGTAATATAATATGTCTTGGAAAGCTATTGAAATCTACTTTTCAACTCAATTAGAATCAGATTAAAATATTTTATAGATAAAAAAATATGTCTAAAATAGTGGAAGGGTGTCAGTTTTGGATAGAGTTTCGTATTCAAATCCATATCTTTTTCGTTATAGCTCGGAATTAATATTATAATATATCATTGGAAAGATAATTTCAAGATCTATCCAACCATATAAGATTTAGTTAAATATTTTGAGGTACAAAAAATAATATCTGACTGTCTTTGAACATCTTTAAATTTGAATAGAATTAGGATTTTAAAAAAAGGAAAGTTTTATTCAATTTCAAACTCTTTGATTTTATCTTTTCAAAAGGATAATTAAGATCTTTTAGCAACTCATAGAAAATTCTAATAAACCCTAATTAGTTTTGGAATAGTATTAATTCTTTGGACCCTCCACATGATCATTGGGCCGTAGGTAAAATCCGGTTTGAGCCCAATTTAGTATTTTGGCCATAACTTCCTCATTATTCATCGGGATTGGGCTTATAATATATCGTTGGAAAGGTTTTTTTCAAGCCCCATCCAACTATACTATTATTGGACCCATATTATGGACCAAACTAAACTGGAATGCACGTTTTTTAAAAATAGGGTAAGAAAAGAAATATTTTCAAAAACAGAAAGAAGAGATATTTTAATAAAAACATCCTCATCACTAGACTTTTCACATTTTCCGTTTGTTCGATAATCAAATGACGTGAAAGGTATTCATCACTGGGTTTGGTTTTGGGGAGACACATTTGGGTGTCTATTGTAGTGTTATGATAAATGTTTTTTTATTTTGTTTTTTTTTTGTGGTGTTATAATCAAAATTTGGGTTGTTTTGTGGTGTTATTTTCTAAAAAAACCTTTTAATTATTTTCCTCAAATCCATAATTTTTTCCCTTAATTCTTATGTCCCATTTCCTAAATATTTGATCATCTTATTTCCCTACCTTATTTCATCCTTGATTATTGCCTAAGTAAACCTTTATTGCCATATTATTATTCATGAAAACACACTTTCCTTAAATTAATTATTCTTAGTCACCTTAATTTCAAACTTTCCAAATTTCTTAAGCTCTGTTCTCTAAGTAATTTCCTTAATTATTTATACCATAATTCTTCCTACATTCTCCTACCATAGTTCTTGCATGAGATAGCCTATAAATATCCATTGATTCATGGCGAAACGCTCACCCCAAATTCTCTGATTCTCTTCTCCTATTCTTCTTGTTTCCTTGTGACACCACCACCACAAATCACCACCTCCACCACCGGCTACAAGCTGCCACCTCCAGCCACCTTCTGAAAGGCTGCCCTACCTTGCCGCCACCTTCTTCTTCCTCTTTTCCTTGGTTTTCACCTTTTCTTCTTCTCTTCTCTTATTATTATTATTATTATTATTATTATTATTATTATTATTATTATTATTATTATTATTATTATTATTATTATTATTATTATTATTATTATTATTATTATTATTATTATTATTATTATTATTATTATTATTATTATTATTATTATTATTATTATTATTATTATTATTATTATTATTATGGGGGATTTATAAAAATTATTATGAGTAGTTTTAATTAAATTAAATCAAATTTTTATTCAAGTTAATGAAAAATAATTTATAAGGTTCATGTACATATAGTTGGGGGTTTCGAATTTAATTGTTGTGATTATATGTTAACCTTATATTAATTAAGGTTATGTTTAATTGTAGGGTGTGTTTGATCAAAGTTCTTAAATTTCTTTTGTGTGTGATAATCAAGGATCAAAGGTACGTTTAGGTGCCTAGATACCTTTGAAAGTGATTGTTTGAATAGAATGTTTTTATATGATTTTATTGGTAATTGAATTTAATTGAATTAAGTTATAATTTATGAAATAAAAGCATGTTTAACTGGTTTTGATAAACTAAATTGGAGGATTGATTTTAATATCATGATTTGAATGATTAAAATTATTTATCATGTTTTATAAGATTGATTTTGAAAGCATATTGAATTTAAATAAAAAGGAGTTTGTGTTATTTACTGGAATTATTGAATTAAAGAGGTTTATTTAATTATTTATTCAAAAGCTTTACAAGCATGATTATTATATTAATCCCACTATGCAGATTCATTAAAGACTATAGATTTTTTATGACCTAGTTTTTCTTCAAGAATAACCTTGAAATAGTAATACATTAGCTTGGGGGGGTGTACACACATAGAGTGGAAATTGAGTTTTTGAAAAGAATTGCTTTTAATAATCATTATTATTGAACTATTGAGTTATTGGAATTATATTTGAGAATTGGTTATGAATCATGATTTTTGGAATTATTGGATTAATCATTGGAAATAGGTTTTTAAAAGCATGTTTACAAATAAATTGAGTTTATTTATCTTACACTTATCATACTAAGCATATTTTGTTAATCCGTATTTTCTATTTGTTTTGATTTTTAATTTGTACCTTAATTGTAAGCAGTGTTGACTATTTTCAGGCGGAGTCAATAATTGAACATATGAGAGTCTCCAGATGTTCTTCACCTAGATTAGGAATGTTGGTCCTTGTTTATTTATGAGTACTCATGACAATAGTTTCTATTCATAGTTATCAATAGAAAATTTTGTGAAAAACTACCTATTATAGTCCAGAATTTGTGAAAAACTACCTATTAAAAAAATGTTGTAATTGACTACCTAAATTTTGAAAAACAAAGTTTGACCAAAATTTTCCGGCATTGACTTGGCCACGTGACACTTGGTTACCATCACGTAGGAAAATTGTGAGAAAATTTGGTAAAGAAAAGGGTCATTAAGTGTCACATGATGGTCAGGTGACCAAGTCAACGCCGGAGAAATTTGGTCAAACTCCTTCATAATCCTGCGTAAGGTAGTAAATTACAACATTTTTAAAAAAATAGGTAGTCAATTATAACATTTTTTTAATAGGTAGTTTCTCGCAAATTCTGGACTATAATAGGTAGTTTTTCACAAAATTTCCTTATCGATAATAAAGAAAGAGTTTTAATTTCCGCTGCAAAATATTGGTTTTGGTTAGTAATTTAAGTAGCTTTGCATAATCACGTGGCGGTAATACGCCTAACTCTATATCTACCATATAGTTATACGTATTATACTAGTATTTCCGTAGAGGGAGATTTCGAGGTGTTACATACTCACCTGTAATTATTATTTCTCTGTAATATAATTATACAATTTTCCTTCCTCAAAACTTCTTTCTATCTCTACATTTTCTCTCTGATTTTTCGCCAAGCTTCAATGGTGAAATCGTCTTGATTCTACCATTGATGATCGTTTGGGTTCATAACTTTAGTTTCATGACAACCAGAGATGAGAATTAAGCATTAAAAAAAGCAAAATAAAATTCTATAATTATTTAAACAACTACATCACCTTTTAAAGTGACCAACTCCTGAAATCAAATAAAATAGTCCATAATGGAAGTCCACTCCCTTATTAAGTATATTAGAAAGGAAATTTTAACTTTAGCTACCACTCAAACACCCCTAGTTAACTTTTGCTACCCATTTAAAATTTTATTTTATTTTACTACCATTAAAAAGCTAAAAATATATGTACGTTTTGCTATCACTTAATAGAATTGGTTACTGTTTCTATTAGATAGGTAGCAAAAGTGAACTAGGGGTGTTTGAGTGGTACCAAAAGTGAAAATTTCCTTTTTTAAAGTAACATATAGCCGAGGAATAATGATGCCAAATAGTATGTCAAATCGATTGCAGCTTAAAACTGTGTCAAAGATCGTCAAGTGTTGTTATTGTGAATGTACTAAGATGGTCAATTCGTTGATCTTGATTGTCAATCATTAACTAGGACTGTATTTTGTTAATTAAAACTCTAGCTTGGCAAATAACTCAATACAAAACATGCAAAAATTTCATACATTTATTTTTAACAGAACGACCTGTAAAATTATTTGAATACAAACACTATATCATAATTTATCTATTCATAGCTGAGTATATCGTGGAACATTTTCGACCTACAAGAACTATGGGAAATAGCTTCTCTTAGTAAGTAGCAAGGAAACAAAAAGCTACAAAAAATGCATACATGACCATATTATATATTCAATGTTCACTAGAAGTGAAATTTGACCCTTTACAAAAAAAAAAAAAAAAAAACAGTAAAATTAGCAGCACAACATATAAAAAAATTAAAAAAAGTCTGATTAGAGAAAAATCAATAAAATAATATAATCAGAATCTAGAGAAACCCAAAAATAAAAAAAATTTATCCGGAATTCTAAAATTCATGCAAAAAATCATGACAAAATAGTAAAATGATACTAAGTTCATTTAAAATTGAACCTTAAATTCAATGTAGTATGAAAGGTGTTAGGAAATAAGGGAGCGATTGTGTTTGATTAATGCGGAACAACACAATGAAAAATAAGAATGAGAAAAGCAATAAAGAAGATAAACAAATAACTCAAAGATTTACGTGGGTGGGGGAGTCGAGAGCTTCTTCACTATAATGGAAAAAGAACGAGAGAATAATATAAGG